AGATTTGTTTCTATGAGGAGACAACTGAATATTTAGCAAAAAGCATCATACTTGCACCACCACATGGATATATTGAATTAGATTAATCATTTTTAGCCAATGTCTCTTGGTATTCAAAATATATTCCTTTTCAAAATTTACATTTACTTCTATTGACTATAAATATAATTTTAGTTTAGAGGAAGATATTCTTTTCATGGCTTGCTAAAAAGTGTAATTATTTTAATCAAATTTCAGCTGTAAGAAATTCTTTTCTCTCTTTTGTATGTTCATGGATAAGTTAATATATTATAATATGCACTGATATAAGAAAGAAATTATATAAGCCTTCATTATTATTATAGTTATTTAATATTATATTGACTATTTAAATCAGCAAAAAAGAGCTAATGCTCTATTGAACTGGTAGTAAAAATTTTTTCATTCTTTCTGTCACTGAAGAGCCAGTGAGATTTTATTTATAATATCTCATCATGGTTTGTCAAAAATACTACAGCAGTTTTACATGTATCTTAAACTTGAAATTTGTGTTTTCAGTTTCATACCTTTCCTATCTGCAATGCATGCATATAACGATATTTGCTGTAGAGTTAAATTTATTTGCTATTTACATAATAGTTGTCTGCACTTACTGCGGTCTTTACTTGGTATAAAGGAAAGTGTGCTTCAGTGGATTCTTTTGTCCGTAGGGTACAATTATCTATGTGATGATTTGATGGGAGGATAATGGCAGAAGAACAATGATTTTAAGAGCAGAGGGCAGTTCTTGAGAAAACACACAGAAGCAGAGGTTTCATTAGGCTGTGCTTGGCAGTAAGCAGCGGCCATTCCTTCTTCTTATTTTCTGTTTATGAGGCAGTCATAAACATCAGTAATATGGATGATAAATATACTTTATTTCTTTAGAATCAAATAAAGAATGTTATGCTTGGAGAAATTTTCAGGTCCTTGTGTTTTAGAAACTTTTCAGTTGGCAGACACTAATCATCAAACCAAGGCATACTTTATGTGCAGCTCCTCCCAGCTTGTTCTCTTTCATAAAGCCCGGCACATCCCTTGGAAGATCCTGTTGGAGTACATAGAAATAGCCTTAATGCTTTGATCTGGACATTCATAAAATAACAGTTACTGTGCTGTAATGGGAAATGTGTTCTTTTATGTTTATAATAAAATAGGTTAACAGTTAAGAATTTGCTCCATTCTCTCTACATCTTACAGTCAGAATTTATGAAATGTCAAAAGCATGGAAAGTTACAGTCTTCGTGGTGATTGCTGCTGCAGCATGCATTTGGCATCAATTCCGGAGTGGTGCCATTTGCTTTATTTTTAAAATGCCAGAAATAAAGACCAGTAAGGAACTGAATTCATCCCAGTGTGAATACAAAGGCTAGTTTCCACAGTCAGAAATCTGTAGGATGGATAGTTTCTTCTAAATAAGAAATTTCTATTGCGTTAATGTAAAACAACATATATATTGCTTTTTATGTATGTTTTTTTGAGACAGGGTTTCTCTGTGTGTCTTTGGCTGTCCTGGAACTTATTCTGTAGACCATACTGGCCTCAAACTCACAGAGATCTGCTGCTTCTATCTCCCGAGAGCTGGGATTAAAGGTGTGTGCCACCATGCCTGGCTATATATTTTATTTGAGGGCAAATCTTCTTAAATTCAGAAATACTTTCCAGAAATTAATTGATAACGTCAAAATAGTTAACTGTACATCTTCAATTTAAGAAGAGCCTAGTCCCCAAATATTAATGCATCCATAATCTGAAAATAATTAAGACATTGAAAGTTGCTTCAGCATTTTTTGTAGTTATGCCAGTTGAGAGATAATCATCATTTTAGAATTCTGATGTAATTTAAGAGAAGTTCTTCTCTGTAATATCATTAACATAAATAGTTACTGGTCATTATCTAAATATCAATTATTATACAACAATCTCAAAGTTGGTATCATAAACAGAAGCAGCTCATTATTTTATACAAATCCATGGGTTGTCCCAGCCTCTACTGGTTGTTTTCCTGGAGCTCTTGAGGTCATGTATCCACAGGCACACCCATGGAAACTCAGCTGACCTCTTCCTAAGACTCTGTCTCTGGGTTCTCATTTATTTACTGTAGTCCTGATGTGCAGATGACAAAGCTCCAGGAGAATAAAGTAAAGCTACCGTTATTTTAGCAAACAGGCTGTGAATTCTCAGAGCACACTCTCTAGTGTTTTCTACTGTCAGTAACTCAGAATGCCAGCTCATAGTTAAAATGTGGAGACATTAGAAAGTTGCTTAGACTTTGTGTATAACATCACTTATTCATTCCCATCAGAACATTTATTCATTCATTCAGTGTGTGTGTTTACAGTATGTGTGTAGAGCTTGAGAACAACTTGCAAGAGAAGACTCCATCCTTCTAGCAGGTGGATCCTGAGGATCAAATTTAGGTCAAAGTACCTTTGCCTGGTGAGCTGTCTTACTGACCCTCTTTCATTTTCTTAATCAGAGGTGATGAAGGTTGAGAGTCAATCTCATATTCTGCATTTAGTTTTGACACATGTAGACACTGGTGAGCTATAGTGTCCTAATTCATCTCAGGTATAGAATATTCCCTCCACTACTTTCAATGAATATTGTAGTGGAGCAAAAACAATGGATAACGTGAACATTTCCTCATATAGCTCATGCAAAATTTCAAATATGCATTAACCTATTTATATGCTACCCAGATCAAGAAATAGAACTGTACTAACATGTTATCTGTGTTTTTCTCAGTTCACAGTATGATATGTCTGTGTTTAGAGATATAAATCTGAGTGTGTTTTCTCTTTATGATGAGCTTTAATCATAAAATGAATAATAATGTTTATGAATTGACGAAAGAAACCCTATGTTTCCTACTACTTAGGAAAGACTTCCTGCCCTGCTTATAAAGCAGGTTTACAAAGTGGGTTCGTGCATGCACACACCAAAGGTCAGATCACAAGCACTCTTCTCAGAAAGTCGTCTGGAAAGGCCAGCAAGGTTCTGGTTGAAAGTTACTAGAGGATTGGTGAAGATCTTCTCCCAGTCAGTAGGCTGCCTTTTTTGTCTTAGTGACAGTGTCCTTTGCTTTACAGAAGCTTCTCAGTTTCAATAGGTCCCATTTATTCAATGTTGCCCTTAATGTCTGTGCTGCTGGGGTTATACATAGGAAGCGATTTCCTGTGCCCATATGTTGTAGGGTACTTCCCA